TTTCCTTCGTCTCCCCTCCCGCCGCTGCCACTTGCCGCTCAACGCATTTGCGGCTGACCCAGTTTCCGGGTTCGATCCGTCTTGCAGTGCTACAGCAGACGGCGGAGAGACAAGCCTGACTGACAGACACAAAAGGCACAACAGCAAACTGGCACCAGTGTCTCTAAACGTGTGCGTCACATTGCCCAAGCACCGTTTGGCAGGAACGAACTCATCCGTTCTCCGAGTCCTGGCACTAAACCAAAATGTTCGTCTTTCAATTTCAGACACATGTGCCCCCACCTGCTGCAGCGACTCTACCTGGTTTACTTTATGACCGTACTACAGATCACACTCTCCAGTCTTTGCTACCTCTGGTCAGGAGAAGACCTGAAAGATCCTTCATGTCAGGAAAACAGGAGAATCTCTCCGGGGAGAGACGGCGAGAGCAGCAAGCCGAGATCTGCCCTGGCAGCTAATCCGTTTTCCTCGGTCCTCCTGACTCAACAACTCGATCCGCTGGCAGAAAAGTATATTTCTGAGTCAAAAGCAATAGTTCACTTTTGTGAGATTGAATGCTGTAATGCCCCAACTACAATTTTATCTGTCAAAGCTGCTGTTGCTGCAGCTGATGTCGACATATGAATACCTTACATAAGTTCATCTCATTGTGCAATCAAGGCAGAGGGGCCTGAGGAATCAGGACACAATAGTTTCATAGTGTGTAGCGATAAAATGAATAGAATCTGTGGAATTATAAAAAACAAACAGATCCCGGTATTTGGAGGAACATGGGACTCTGTGGGTAGAACAAAACCGGGTTGGCTGGATAAATAAACTATTTCCATGAAGCAGTAAAGATGCATCTCAAAAAAGTAGATTATTATGGGAAAATGAAGTTATGTCATTGTACATTTTGGACTTTATCTTTTATAAGATTAATAAGTACTCATAAAATATTTTGTAGTTAAGTAATTGTAATCTTGTTTTTATAACCTTTGTTTTTAGCAAGACAAATTAAGAATCAGCCAGGGACGACGGATGAAAAACAGCCTCTTTTTTTAGATTATAATGCGAATACTGAAACATATGTCTATGTACTATGTAGTATTTGGACTCAATAGCTGATCGGGCCTCCTTCTGCATTAATGTGCATCAGTGTGGCGTGACTTGGAAGTCATTAGCTTGTTGAGGTTTACCAGAAATCCAAGTTGTAGCTTTACTGGGTCTGGTTTCACATTTTCCTTTTGACAATCTCCTATAGATTCTCTATGAGGTTTAGATCAGGTCTGTTTGGATGTGTGGATCGGTGTAAAGTCTCACTAGAAAATAAAATCCACTCCTCCATGAAGCTTTATTGCAGTGGGAAACATGACGTGCTTCGATATTTCCTGGAAACGTGTGGCAACTTTGGACTTGATAAAAATCTACCAACACTATTCTACTCTATAATTTGACTGATATTCTGAAAATTAACATTACGCTTTCAGTCAAACATGGTGGTGGTGGTGTGATGCTCTGGGGCTGCTGTAGTGCTTTAGACCTGGTTGACTTGCTGAAATAGTTTGAAGTATAAAACAGGCTCTCTTACAAAACAATGAGAGGGAAGCGAGAAGATTCAAAGCATATCATTAATGGCAAAAAACAAAGAAAACTTTGAAGTGGTCTAGTAAAAGTCCAGACTTGGAGGTAATCCAACTGAGATACTTTGGCAATATTTAAACCATTTCATGATTGAAACAACAAGTTACACAAGAGGGGGGCAAAATTCCTTCACACTGATGTAAAAGACTCACCAGACGGCACAGATGCTTGATGGCAGATTTAGCCTTTTTCGAAGGTAATTTCAGACGAGGTGAAGCAGAATTACCAAACTTCTCCCTCACATAATAAAAGTGAAAACTGCATTTTGTATTCATTAGAACATATAGAAATGTATATGCGTCTAAAATGTGGAGGGTTGTGGCTCGTAGAGCTCTCTTTAGGTCACAGGAGCTGCTGCTGTTGAGTCAACATCACAAGTGGAGCACTGGACTCAGGCAGAGACGCGTACAGAGATGATGACAGACATGGCTTCAGTAATCCTCCGAGCTTCTCTGACTTCAAGTGACATCGTCTGCGTCACAAGTGAGATTCTATTATCTATGAGGCCATTAGACCCAAAAATGGCCTCATTTTATTTATGTAAATGATATCATGTAAATGTGGCAAAGTTCTTAAAGATTTGGTCAATTCATTTGCAGTTTTTATTATTTATCCTATTTGAACATTAAGCTTAATGTTCCTCATTCAAGTTTTACAAAAGGTTGCAAAGAACAGGTTTGTGCTACTTATTTAGTAAGAATTTTGTGGCATGAATATTTTTTTAAAGTTTGAGGAGCTCCACCGAGGAGTAGCAATATTCCCTGTTGTCACTGTAAGGTATGGTGATGTTTTTCAATTATAATTTGAATAGGGGAAAGTGAGAGCCACCCAAAACAATGAAAAACCATTTTATTTTGGACTTTGGATGTTTGTATAAGACCTTAAGCCATTGAAGCTACGCAATTTTTAGCTTTATTAACAAAATATGTTTTCTAACTGTAGAATTTGGCATTTATTCTCCTGTTGTGTCAGTGTGGTCACTTACTAAATACATAATTACAGATTTTTTTTTTTACTTATGTTACAAGAGATACTTTGAGAGATTGCACAAGTTTTACTTTTTGAAAATGTAAAAAAAAAAAAAAAAAAACATCCAGTGATTAAAAGCTGATTAGGATTTGTTTCCATCAAATTAATATGTAAGCTCATTTGTAAAGCAAACTTTATTTTGCTCCATCCTCCAGTTATTATCTGAATATGCATAACCAAAGTTGAACAAATTTAAATGTAAAACCAAAAATAGCATTTACCAACAGCAAACATTTGGATTTCTCCAGCAATTTCTGTGGGCTCACGTCCAACAGACAGGATTGAAGATTGCAAATTGTACAAACTGTGCATGTGCTGTGCATGTGTCACAGCGATAGGGTGCACAAGAGAGTCATGGGAGAACAAGATAAGTTGCTATCTTTGCGTACTATTTTTGTTATGTTCAGACTTGTTAGACCAAAGTTCTACCATCCAGTGTGTACTAGGTTCATTGAAACTCTAAATATTTTACTACTTTTGATTTGTCTGTAGTATTATTATAGCAGGTAGCCTTTGTTCATTCAAAATTTAAAATAAATTAAAGCTGATACACTTTTTTTTCCTTTTTTGTGCCAAAAACTAGTAGGTAATATGCTAGTTGGAAAAGATGCTCAGGATATTGGCCAAGACAAAAATGGTCAATTTGGCTGTAATAAGTATTAAAAAAAAATAGTAACCAATTACATGTACAGTATATGCTTGAATTATATGACATGTATTTATGATAAATTTAATTCACTTGGCTTTGTTGTGGTTACTGCAGGTATTTGAGACACTTTGAAAACAAGTTTTACTGCACTGATGTTTTATTTAAAAGAAATTTAAAAAAAAAAAGCTTCTTGAAGACAAAATTTCTAAATTTATTTGCATTTCAGTGACAGATTTTAAAAAATAAACTATCAAACATTTACGTAAATATTTAAAATTAAATCATTGAAGCTACTGGAGTAAAAACAAGATGTGGCTTATCCTGTTATTACCCTCGCAGCCTTAAAGTACATGCGTCAAACTCAAGGCCTGTGGGCCAAATCCAACCCACCACAACCACTTATACTGCCTCTGGACTTTACACTCAAAAAGAAAAAGGAAAAAAAGTTACACCTCTTCTAAAAGATGACATATTTTATTACCATTAAACCAGCTAACATATATATATATATATATATATATATATATATATATATTATATATAAGAATATGTAACTAAACATTTAACACAAAATGTCTAAACATTTTATGTATGATGCAAAGTAACCTAGAATAACTGAGAAGGTCATCACCTCAAAGTGTTTTGTCATTCAGAGTCGCGTGGCTCATAACAGTATTACACATAATTGATTAAAAAAACTTTGATTTTGGGACGGAAATAATGAATTGCACAAGGCAGATTAATTATCCAACTGATTAAAAAACATTGAGTTACATAAACAACATTGATCTAATCAAGACAAAGAAAATATATTACTTATCCTGCATTAGACAAAAGTGAATTGGTCAAACTAAGACTTCAAGCTGGATCAATGGATAATGTTTAATTTAGAGCCCCATATACTGAACTTTAACATAAATATTAATATATCATTAAATCAAATCAGTTATTTGTAAAGGGCCAAGTTACATCAATGTGAAAAGATGTTAAGTATGATTTAATTTTAAGCAGTCCTCACTGAATGCAGAGAAAGCTGTAATATGTTAAACAATTAGTTAAGGGGTTTCATCAATACATTTTGCCACAACCGGTCACATGTTTATTTCCTGTTACTTGATACAAAATTGCTTGAATAGTGCAAACAGAGATAAGCTAAAACCAACAGCCTTGTCTGTGCAAACACATGACAAATACTCCTGTGAATTCAGTCCCGACAAAGACTTGACATTATTCAAATGCGAGTTAAGTGAAATTTTACTCTGGAGGAGGAACTGCAAGGCAGATAGTAGAAAGTGATAACTCGACACCCAACAATAAACTTGTCAGGTGACAGTGAAGGTACAGCACTTATAGTAATTAATTAACCTTTATTTCTCTGAGGTTGCCCCTCTGTGGCCTTAATAGGCATTTGGTGATGTCATTTATAGAAGAACAACTTCAGCACCAAGCAGGTGAAGAGGACAGATACGTGAGGGCATTGTTCTCTGATTTCCATCAATCATGTGACCTTTGAGATTTCGAAAACTGCGAAACCAACGCAAGTTCAATGAGACTTTGACACTTCCATGTTTGTCAGAAGCCTCGCTGACGCAGGAGTGCAGTTTACTATTAAACTTAGCGGAAGAATGCGAAAGGAAAAGAGGATATCGATAGTTTGAATTGATAGTAAACAGAAACAAAAAACAAAACAAAGACTCACCAAAGATTTCGCCATTCTTGGCATACTCTGTGACCAAGTACAGCATGTTCTTCGTCTCCATAACCTGAGGGAAGGAGATGATTAAAGAATGGGGAGAAGAAAAAAAGTGAGTGAACACACTTAAACATTTTCATGAGCAATTTCATCTGAAAACCTACAAGAATAGACACTTGAGAGTCAAAAGATCCAAAAGTGAAGCAAAATAAGCCCAAGGGCTCACTGTGTAGCTACACTCCAGTGGCATTCACAAAATAAAATCCCAAACAAACAAAATACATGAATGGCAACAGGCTCTAAATATGGCAATCATGTAAGAGGACGGAGGTGGACGGTTGGTGCTGCTGAGTGTATCTGAATGGTACTTAAAACCTTTCAGTCCTGACATGGTGCTGGGTTATGTAGGAGGAGGACCGATTTAGAAGCAGAAACACTCGGGAGATGAATAGAATTAAACCGGCGAGCGAAGAATCAGATGGAGATGGTGGGATGAATCAGACACTGCGAGCCAGACATTCACACTAGAAATCCCACACGCTTTGTTTGAGATCATTTTTCCATCTGTTGCGCTGACCGATTCACAGATTTGGGAAATTTAAAAAAAAACAAAAAAAGAAACGGTGGGGTTGTTCAGTAAACCTGTTTAGTCCCCCCCTGTGACAAACAACTGATTGGTTATTTAAGCTTCACTGGTCGGACAAAGCGAGAGCCAGCAACTGAACTGGAACATACTGTACAGTTTTCACTGCCAGGGCGGAATCGTGTCAAAGCTCCAGGATTGTTACCAAAACTAAACAGTAAAAGAACTTTATTATGCGTGGAAGATAAAGATGTCAGACTGTTTATATTTAAACTACGGATAAAATATACTAAGAGGAAAACGACAGACAGATGGTGAGAGAGAAATGGTTGGAAGACGGGTAAATGTAGGGACAGATTAATAATGGATAGAGGGGATGATGGAATGAATGTAAAGATAGAATTGATAAATGGTGAAAAAAATGGATGGATATTTTTTCAATTCTCTCATTTTTCCAACCTGGATATGACTTCAAACCCCAAACCGAATGCAAGTCCCGTCGTTTTCATTTGATTTCAGATATCTCTCATTTACCATAAATAATTTTGCTTTTGTTGCGTTACCCATTTCATTTCTAAAATTACTAAATTATTTTAAAAAAATTAAACTACTAAAAATTCTGTTTCTTAATTTATTTAAATGCATGAGTAGGTCAAATGTCGGTCAACTAGTTTCTTGTGGTTTGTTAATTTGTCAAAGCCAACACCCATTTGTTTGCCTCAAAGTGAGGACACATCGACACACAACTACTGTCTTTGACTGTAAAAGCCGATAAAAGCAGAAGTTTGATACAAACATTTGATAAGCTTGGTTTATGCGTTTAAAAAACAAAAACGCTTTTTCCGTGAAAACCTCCAATAAGATGAGAAGCAACAAAAACAGGGCATTTGATTAGCTTTGTGTGTTAAATATTTATTTCTCTGTAGCAAAGGAAATAACTGTAATGTGATAGGGGAAACTTGGAGTTAAGCTATTTTTGGACCACATTAACATTAATTTTTGACTTCCCCTAATTACGCTGTCACAAGCAAGAGCAGCAGTACATCCTGTGGTTAATCGAGTGCTTTATAAGCCTGTACTCTTTATCTGTTTACAAAGCAAATATTTAAATAAATGGTGTACTTTTTTATTAAAGTAGTCCATGTAATGGGTTTAACACTGGGTTTGATTTTGGGGAAAAGTATGTAGACTCCCAGATCTCTTGTAGTCGTACACCAAACCCACGGACCCGGAAGGCGTAACGTGGAACACCCAAGCAAGGAGAGAATGAAAGACAGAAAATAATGGCCGAACGGGGTTAACGCAGAGGCCATTAACACATGAAAAAAAAGAGAGGGGTCCACAGTTAATTTGTGTCCTTTGTGAGTCTTCATTAGATAGGCTTTCCTCGGGGCACTGGGGTCAGCCCGGGTTTTTGAGACGGGACGGGGACAAACTAATTGAGCTGAGCTGATTGGACGGATGGGGCCTGGTGAACAAAAAAAACTGAATAACGATACACACTAAAATAACACAATACAAAACTGGAACATTGTCACACGGTTGTGAGATGATAATGAACTTTTATTTACATTCTCTGAAAGAAAAGAGCAGGACCCCATTTATGTAACGTGTTTTGGGGAATTTGGGGGGGTTTATTGCAGGGAACTATTTTGTGACAAACACCAGACAGTGGAGTGACAGTGGTGAGTAAGTAAGTCTTCTTCACCTCACAGAACATGCAAGAAAAGTGCACAATCAAGTCTGCAATGAAAACTTAGCAACTTTTGAAACTGTTAAATTTATGAAAAATTTATTCTCTCAATTATTATGAAAAGATGCCAAAATAAAAACTGGACTGCTAATTACCTAACGGCTTTTAAATTAATTATTTTCCACCTTTAAATTGTCACAATATTAACACGTTTACCCACAGCAGTTTACATCTTAAAAAAAAAAAAAGCTCACAAAGTTTTAAGGTTGAAACGAAATAAACAGATGTACCTTATTTTTTCCTCCGTCAGTCATAAAAAAATCAGAGTAAACTTTTCCAGCTTTAGGTCAGTTTCGATTGCAAAAAATGATTTTTGTGCGTTCTAATGCAACACCTTAAACCCACAATGTGGACCTCCGCCACTCGGGGTCATTCACATTTCCAGACGCTCGAGGAACGTCCAGGCCACGATACTATTTAGGAGCACCGTGTCCCAGGGGTTAAATGTGTCTGGCGCAAAATGCCTACGTCATCCTACACAAAAAGAAAAAGGTATTGTGAAAATGCTTTCATAATCCACAGTGAAACGTTCAGTACCTACATTGCCTGTAAGGCAAGACCACAACTTCAGAAGAAATGCAGGGTAAAAAACATTTTGGAGGCCCGTCCTTTGATCTGCTAAAACTATAGTTGATGTGGCTTAAGGACAACAAAGTCAATTATTTGGGGTGATTATCACAAAGCCCTGATCTGAATCTCAATGAAAATTAGTGGGTAGCGCTGAAAAGACATGTACAAGCAAGGCTGCTTGCAAACCTTACTCCACTATATCCACTCTGTCAGGAGGAACGGGCCACAATTTTACCAGAGTACTGCGAGAATCTTGTGGAAAGATACTCAAAATATTGGACCCCAAGTCATACGGTTAAAAAGACAAATTCACTAACTCCACAGTTCAAAATGGGTTTTTTGTTTTTCTTTTAAAAAATAAATAAATATAAATAAACAAAATATCCCACTAGGCCATTTTTTTTCAGCTTCCACACTGTATCCAAAAATACTGGGAAAGCAACAACAGTATTCATATTAAACCAAATGTGAGAAATTCCTTCCAGCCTACATGTAGTGACAACTCCCAGTCAAAAATGACCCTGCTCCCATGTCTAACTTCATAGTTTACATCGTCCTACCAAATGATACTCATTTCAGAAGTCCCAGTAAATAAAAGGGTGGATCCCTGATGGAATAAATAAAGCTGAAATGTGACATTTCAGAAGATTTAATTCATATTATCTCGACCAACTAATGACATGAGTGTTTTGCCTTCGCTCACTCCCCAGCAAGACGCAAACAGCCCTGAGAGTCAGTCAGTCATTAACTATATTCTGTAACTATCCAGCAGTGGCAGGTTCTGCTGGGCAGCATCTGTTTGCTTATGCATTAGAACATGACCTGGATTGGTCATGCGCTTCAACACCCCGGGCTGCTTAAGTACCCAAAAAAGAGAAGAAGATCAACAAGAAGCAGCGGTAGATTCTGCTTTTCAAAGCTGACTTCTTCACACTGTGTCCCCCTCCAACCCGTAACTAGAACACTTGTCATATCGAGTCTGTAACAAGCGTTACATATTACTCTGTGACCCCTGAGCTCTGACGGGCAGAGCGGGCTGCACAGAGGCAGACTTGGACTTTGCTTAGATCACACGAACAATCAGACTTGAGACGCACGTGGACATTCGTCCACGGTAGCGTTAGAGATCTCCAGACTTTCTGCCACTAGGTTCTGATCCGATAGAGTTCATATTTGCAGAACATGAAAAGTATTTTATAAAAGTCAACTTCGGTCTTGTCCAAATAAGATGTTCCTAATTAAATACATTTCAGCAGTGTTCTTTCAAACGTAGAACAATGTTTAATCTCTCACTAAAAGCCTGATTTGGAGAAACTTTTCTTAGAACTAGGAGTGTTAGCTTATCACACCCATTTACTCATCCTTTTATGTCTTTTTCCACAATAATTCTTTTACGTCACAACATATTTGGCATAGCTTTGGATTTATTGCTTTCTTTTGCTACTGATCTGGAGGGGTTGCTTTGTAGAATAATAAAAATTTTATTTGGTCACAACTGAGATCTCCCCCCCTCTTCTAAACTCAAATATAAAACTTCACAGTCTATTCAAAGGAGGATTTCAGTAGAGACCTTGTGATACCCAGAGACAAAGAAGAGCCTTTATCTCCTCTCAGGGGGTGTTAGATATTTGCTAATGAGCCATCGCAAGTCAAGTCATCTAGATATATCTTGTGGACCAAAGTCTTGCTTTTCATCTTCTTAATTTGAGATAATCATGCCACTCCCTTGAAGATAACATGGCAAAATACGAGCGTAATTACAAAAGATAGGACAGAACAATAGTCCTTACCTGAGGGGAGGACGACTACGTGTCGAGGCTAAAAATAATTCAAACAATATCTGGCTATTTGTGTTCAATTTGACTTGCATAACATCCATAAAAAATACAAGTAATTTAGAGGCAATTTAGGCTGTCCCAACATATTCCTGTAAAACCAGGATTAGACATAAAGCAATGATGACAGCCTTAAAGACTTGTGCAGATCAGTGATGGCCAAACATTTCTACTTCAGATGGCTAAAATAACACCAGAAGAGACTTGTTGCCACCACAGATTGACAGTACATGTATCTAGTTTATATTGTATTTATCTTTATTGCATCAAAAGGCATTAAAGTCCACAGTTTTGAAGAGGTGATCATATTCGACCAACTTTTTCAGGACAGCTCGTCTGCAGGTCAAATATGCCTTTTTATTAAATGCAACAAAACCACCTTTTTTTTCTGTAGATGCATCAACCACCTTAACAAACAAACTTTCTTCTGAACTAAAAAAAACAGTAAAGGTTTGGTCTGTAAACTTCTGCAAAGCTTTATAAATTAATATGAGCAGGAGTAGAAATACGGAAAACAAAAAACCATTAAACAAATATCCTAAAAGTAACACTTTAAAAAATGCATGATGCATAAATTACTGAGTGAGACAATAACACCTAATAAAGTTGATAAATTCAAGAAAACAATCCCTCTGTAGACTTCAGGTCTTGGTGGAGACACTAACCTGGTATAGCTTGATGATGTGGGGGTGGTCCAGCATTTTCATGATCTGAACTTCCCTGTAGATCTTCTCCAGGTTGACGGCATCCAGTTGGGTCTTGTCAATGATTTTAATGGCCACCTGTGGTGAGATCAAACATGAGCATCAAAACTGGAACTAAGAAGTCAGATTTTAGATAAACAATTGAAAGGATCTCATTTAGACCCCATCAAATACAATGGACGGTAAAGCAAACACATCCCCACAAACTCTACTGTAGCCAGCAATTTGATATCTAGCAAGTAGAAAAGAAACTAGCAAAGTGCTCAAACTTTGCTATTTTTCCCTCATATGTCAATTTGCTATTGTATTGAAAAAGAAAAACATTTAAAAAAAAATCATACTTTATCGCTAAGATATAATCAAATATGAGAGTACAGTTCAGTTTTGCATCTACGCACGGGCGCGCGCAAAGTGCATGCTCCAAATGTAAACATCCCAAGCTTTCAATAACAGAGCGAGGGTAGGTAACGAGGCAATAATAACATCTTTGCTCCAAACTCTCTCATAAACACAAATTCATCAGAGTGACCTGAAGTGCTCCAAGCATCTGTGAGCCAAGGAGGTGAGGTAAACAACAGGAAACTCTGGGTCTCTGCCATCACACCACTGTTAGGTGAAGCTAAACAACTGAGATCAAAGTCAGCTGGGAAGTTTTAATGAGCAGTGAAAGTCTTTTACCTTTTTAAATAAAAACAACAAAAGAAAGGCAGGGGTTGAAAGTTAAAAAATAATTAAAAGCAGAAAATTCTGTTTTTTAATTTAGATTCATGAAATTGTACAATACTGCGCAGCAATCTGAAAAACTGCCAGAAGATTGTCTCCTGCCTGCTTATCAGAGAGGCACTCATTTTATCCTCCATCTTCATGCAAACATTACCAGCAGCTTCACTCTCTCGTCTCTTCTTCATATTACAAAGGAATGCGCGGGATAACTGCAGTGCGCTAGTCTATACCTGAAGCAAGCAACAGATCAGCTGAGATGCATTCATGTCTTTACCTTGAACCACAACAGAAAATAGTAGCACTCCATTTTTATTTTATTTTTTTTAACATAGTGGTCATGTAAGCACAAACATGGCCTTCTGTTTACTTTTAGCACGTTGTAGTTTCGCCAGCAGTTTTAAACTTCTTTTGGCAAGTTTGTAGCCAACTAGGAGGAGTCGAGGGAGAGTTTAATAGGTCTAACACTCCATTATCGAGTCCCTTGCCACAACACAAGCAGACATGCATCGTGGGATTAAATCCCATAAAGAAATCTAAATCTAGTAACAGCACTCCAGCTTCAAACTGAGACCTCTAAAACAGAGAGATAGATGGGATAAATGCTTTATTTAGCTCCGGGTGGGGGGGGGGATTTAAACATTAAGTGGTTCATTAAATTAAAGAGCATGCATTCAATATAAGATATAATTGCAAAATTGAATAAAACGGAGTTAATAAATGACAGTTAAATGTAGAAGTAAGTGTAAACATGAATAAAAAGATGATTGTGGTGGATGGTAGAAAGTATTAAAGGAAAAAAGGATAACAGTTTGTGGTATCTAAGAAATTTTGAGCTAAAGATTTAAAATGATGTTCTTACTTTATTCTTACTGTTTCCAAAGTGACATTTATTTATTGATTATTTTATCATATATAGCGGCTTTTGAAGGCCTAAATACCCGAGTAAAACACCAGGTTTGTGTGGTGAAACAATTAAGACAATTTAACTGAAAACCAAATTATATTTGAGGAAAGGAGGGAAAGTTACAATATCCCCCATAGCTTCAATCTTTTTCAGTCTTGGGTAAAAAAAATTTAATTATAGTGAATCCAACTAACCTGAAATAAAGTTTGGGTGTTCTAGTGGCTTTTTCTGAACTTTGCTCATTTTCTTCCTGGAAATAAAGCCAAAATTTTCTGCCAGGCTAGGAAGGATCAACATAATCTCACTGAACAAGGAGGACAGGAAAAGGGAAAACAAATTCTCAACAAGATTATATCCACACACTGACCAGTGAGAAGTAAAGGTAGCCACCAATAATTGGAGAAAAACAGGGAACAGTTGCACATTAAAATTGGATATTTACCAAAACTGATGAAAAGATGCAAGAAAAACTGTTCAGAGAAAATACCAAGAGGGCAGACGGCAACGCTGAAGAACCAAGTTCTAATCATGTTCGTCATTCCACTACGACCTCCTATGGTCCACATATTTCTGTCCAGGCATTTGTCCAATACATTTGGTGAAAAAGCGACATTGCACAAGAATCTACACTTGAAGTCCAGAGTAGGTTTAAGCAAAAAGGTAGAGAATACAGCAGACAGAAGAGTTTAAGTTGAACAGCTGAAATAATTTTCCTCACAAGTAAAAAAAAAAAAGAGAGAGAGAGAGAGAGAGAGAGAGAGAGAGAGAGAGCAAAAGTCTTCTTTCAACCCGCTGACAGGCAGGAGGCATCAACCAGTGGGTAAAGAGCAGTGAGCCATTAAAGCTGAAGAAAACTCTTTAAATGAACTTCAAACCATAGGAACAAAATGTCAGAAAGCTTAATTGAATCTATAAATTTTCAAAAGCTTGATACCATGATTCATAGGGGAAAAAGACCTGCTGAACGACAGCGTCACAAAAAGAGCCTTCTGCCACTTGTCCACTGTCGTCCACGATAGCACCTCGTTCACTCCATCACAGATTTTAATGAGTTTGAACACCTGCCAAGCACCAGCTTTTTATCTGTGTGGCTGCAGCCCCTAACACACGGCAGCATAAAAGAGGACACCAGCTCCTATACGGAGGTAAAATACGTGCAGCAACTCATCTCACTCGGCAAAAAGACCTTAGCCTGCTTCGTCTACAGAGCCTGAGGTTTCCAGGTCCAGCTTGTCATGCATATGGACTCCTGTCTACGTGTGGGGAGCGCTCCCAATCAATGCTCTGAGTTAAGCAGGTGGCGTGCTATAGCTACAGGTTTAACTACCAGTGTATATTATAATAAACTGTTCAACAATTAATATTAATCATTCAAGTAAAAAAAAGCAATAAGCCAAGGAATAAGCCAATTACAAGTTCAAGGTAAACCAAAATAAAAACGAAGATATGTTTGAGCAAATTATTTTTGGGGGTAAATTGTGTCGGATATCTGTCAAAGCTTTCTTTCAACTTAATGTTGACAGACAGGGCCACGTTGGAGTGGGCAAGACACCCACAAGCAGAAACATATACAACAAAATGAGACAAATAGGTCGGATGAAAAAAGTAGGTTACAAACACAGGAGTTGCACCTACCTAGGGACGTGCAAACATGTGTGCACAAACATGCCAGATCTGCTGTTTCATGTACTGTTAAACTGTGGTTTACTGTACAAACAAGAACCAGGCAGACCGATGGCTCCTGGCATCGTCTCACGTCAGATGATGCATAAAAGTTTATTGTCCGCCTCCCCGGCCGACTTTGTCTGAGTTAAACATCTGCAGCCGTTCTATATGCCAACCAGCACTAAGTGATCTCCACTACCAAATGGATGGCCTGTAAACAACCACTGTCAGTGTTATAATGATGTAGCTAACCTGGCTAGACTAACGCTGAGCCACTTCACAGGCCTTAATAACCAGATTACCACAAAAAGAGCCTCACACAGGATGCATCCTTGCCCAGTTATCCATTAAAACCTTTGAAGGATCTAAACTGGATGACGCAAATCTTTTATTTTCTTATACACTATAATCGCTCACGTTCACCAACAAACAAGCTGCGCAGATCAAAGATAAATGTTTTTACAAATCTCCTGGAATATGGTCTAATCACGCCCACTCGTCTCACAGCAGAGGCTCTCCACGCACTCTGGGCACTGTTTACAGTAAAGTCCCTGTCTCTATCATTACAACAGAGAGGCATGGCACTCCATGGTACTGCTTGGGTAAGGCTTTTTCTGCAGACAGGGAATGAGCAGGCAGAAAGTTGCAAATTAGCTCCGACTAATCTCAAAAGTTTCCGATATGCATTCAGTCTCAAAGAACTCAAATTGGTATGAATTTTATCACATTACAACTACAAACGTCAATGTATTTTATTTGGTACAGCAACATTAAGTTGAGTATGAAAGGGGTGGACTTAAAATATTATCACCATATGTTAACGTACCACTGTAATATTGAAAAAGGTGACTGTAAAAAAAACAAAAAAACTATTTACAACTTCTTATGGGGTAACTGTGTGAGTGTGACTGTGCAGTACTGAAATAGCCCCATAAACACAAATACTAATCATAAAAAACATACCTGTTTGAAATAGGCTTCTTCATGTCACTTCAGTTACATAAATGGGAAAAGTATCTCAATAAATGCATTTAATTATAATTGCAACTTTATTTATGCTAACATGGAGAAAATAGTAAAAACAAAAATTCCAATAACAGTGTCAGTTTCTGAACACCTTTAATTGAACATCTCATCAAAATTTGCATTATTGTAAGAAATTGTTCACGATAAACAACTGGGTAAATTCCCAAAAGGTTAAAGAAAAAACAATCTGAAGTTTTGAAGCTTATCTAGCAAACTTCAGTAAATTACACTGATAAATAAAATTATAGCAAGCATGTAGAAGACAGGGGCTCTGATCAGGAAAAAAAAATGTAATAAGACTTAAGACAGGGACTTAAGAAAAAACTAGACCCAAGACAGAGCAGAGGTTCAACTTCCAGCAGGATGAGACCCTAAACATAGGGAACAGTGGAATGTTTCACATTAAAGCATATACATGTGTGAGAATGGCCCAGTCAAAGTTTAGATCTAAATCAAATTGAGCATCTGCAGCAATAAGTGATGTTCAAAGATGCTCTTCATAAAACTTGAATGAATTGGATTTATTTTGCAAAGCAAATGGAGTAATAATTTCAGCGTAGATGTGCAAAGCTGGTAGAGACACACCCCAAACGACTGTCTGCAGCAAAAAGTGGTTCCACAAAGTCAAAATTGAGGGAGGGCGGAGTAAAATTGTATAGCAATTTTAGTTTTTTAAATTTGTAAAATAAGTTTGCAATCATGCATCTTCTTTGGTGAGCACAGAAAATTGTTGCGCTTGTAGTAAAAAAAAAAAAGTGTAGAAGGTTTAAGTGTTATGAATATTTCTGAAGGGCACTGTACGCTGCACCGCTCTGCAGATCGGAGTGTTTGCAGAGCCAAACCCTTTCCAAACTATGAAGACCCCGAAGCCAGTGTCAGGGAGTTGCTGTCTGCAAACAAGCCTGCAAAACTCTACGCTTTCCAATTAGAAAGACATAAGCAGAGGATCCACACAAAGCTCACTGCACTGCTGGGACAAGAAATAGCTAAATCACATCATTAGTTAGATTACATAATGGGACCACCAACCTACGCTGCATCCCCCTTGATACAGAGCAAATTGGAAGTTTACGCCGGCTAGACTCTTATGTTGCCCTATTGTGGCTTTGAGTGGGGTCATTATACCAAAACGAGAGCAGGTGTATGATGCAAAGAAGAAGAAGGGGGAAAAAAAAAAGAGAAGAGTGTGTGCATGTTTACAGTTTGTATTTCCCAGCAGCAGTGGTGGTCAGACCTCTTCCTGGCACTGATATTCCTGAGGGGGGGATGAACGTGCAGACAGTCTGCTGCTCTACCTGCATGGTTCAAATGCACCAGCACTGCAAGTCATGTGTCCACGGGCAGCTGCATGACCCGGGTCTGGATTAGCGCTGCAATGGTTGCTGGGGTGTCAACTAGTGCATAAAAGTTATATAACTCAGCAGAACAGCAGCCCAAGTTAGCTTTCCAGGCTAACAAGTTCACCCGTGAACTCACCTCGGTCTTGGTTATGCGGTGTCTGGCCAGCTTCACGACAGCGAAATTGCCTTTTCCTAAAGTGCGCTCGATGTCGTAGAAGCCCACTCGGACCGGACCCCGGAGCAGCGGTTTTTGGACACTGTCGGCCATGACCATGCTGTTCTAAATGGGACTGCTTGTGAAAGCGGTAGAGACGGGAGGACTCAGACAGGCTTGCTTGAGCAGCTAGAGATAAAGACGAAAGAAAAACAAACCGCCCGCCGCCGCCGCCGCCGCTTCTATCGCCGCCCGAAGCGTGTCCATTAAAAATAGACAAAGTTGATTTCTGTGTCGCCCCTACCGGCTTAAAAAAAAAAAGCCAATGTGGCGCTGACTCTCTTTCATACGCGGCGAGCCATTCGCTGAACCACAGGGCTTTCACGCCACGTTCCCCGGGTACAATAGAGCGATAATATTTCAGGTTGAGGTGCCTCTATCAGCTACAGAGCACACGAGTTGACTCGCTAAGAGGCGTCATATTCTCGAGTTGACGTACATTGACGTCAAAGCCATGGGGGTATTTGTTCAGGGGGCGGAGCCACAGAGCGGCTCCACACTTCAGTGCCAATTGGTTGTCAGGACAACCAGACCCACCTCTTACGTCAGCCGGTAAAATTGCTATTCTGAAATCTGTTTGCTCGCCTGCCCTTCTTGATTGCACGCATAGGTAACTTTGAAGTTCGGCCCTGCAGGTGCTTAGTTAGCACTGCGGCTAAAAATGCTTTAAGAAAAGATTCTGCATCACTTCCTTTCATTTGGTCAGAGAAATTACTCAGCAAAACTAAATGGGAAATAAATGAACACAAGCACATTTATGCAAAGCAGCATTTTTGGTTACACGGATCCATCATATAGCATGCATGCTTTATTTTTAAACAATGCTTTTATAAAAGCATTTATTAAAGGGAGGTATTTGATCAAAGAAGACACTTTGTTCACCTACATCACAGCGACATCTTTTGGTAAAAGTATGCAACTGACAATGTCTCTCAAGAGACCTTAATTGTATAAAGCGGCTGCAGTGACAGAAAAAAATCTGTCAATATAAATGATATAAATGCTCTTTATAATATTATAATATTGATCTGACTATATATATATATATATATATATATATATATATATATATATATATATATATATATGTGTGTGTGTGTGTGTGTGTGTGTGTGTGTGTGTGTGTGTGTGTGTGTGTGTGTAAATTAAAATGAGTTCAATAACTTCCACTTGCATTATTTAGTATTTTCATCTTTTCTCTCTTTCTACCAAAAATAGAATGACAGATGGTCTCAAATAGCCCCTTTTCTGAAGGACAATTTTGTTTACATAGACTTCATAATTAATTGTGTGTTATTTTGTTTGCTTACTTGGGTATTTAAATATCGTTCAGTTTCGGTGTTAATAGAATTTAATGTTTTTTGATCTCGGAGAATGTGTTCTCTCATTATTATGCCATTACTATAATATTACCTGAAAATGGTCTCAAAACAACATTATTGTTTGTCACAATAACTTCTGGGACAATTTTTCGCATGTGTGTAGTCACATTCATCTTTTGTTAGCCTGAGTAAACACAAAATGCAGTTTCTGAAATTGCAAATAATAGGCCATCAATTATGTAAATTACTGTGGTAGAATTTTGCCCATGTTTTATTGCAAAATTACTTAAATTCAGCAATAAAACTCATTTCTGAACATGAATTCTCCATACCAGGCCACAACATTTCAATCAGACTTATGTTCATAAAGTAACCAGGCCACTCCAACACCTTCATTTTGGAAACCATATTTAGTGGAATGCTCAATTTCCCTTGTGGCTCAAAGCTTTTGAAATGGCTGCGTAACATCTCTAACACGGATATTTATGATTTTTGTCATCTGCTATTAAATTTCTTGAAACCAGACACATTTAATTTCTGCATTCTAACTTTGTCTAGAAATTAGCTTTCCAAAAAAAAAAATTAAAAATAAATAATAAATGTTTGATAACAATATTTTATGATTTACAATGATGGGTAAATATCAAATTTTACATAGGGGCAAATTATTTAAATAGCTTCTTTTTTTTTTTACTTTAATCAGTGAAATCATACTTTTCAAATGTATATTTATCTGATGTTACAACTGTTTGGTGACCTGGAACATATAACAAAACAAAAAAGCAAAAGGAGCAGAAATCTGTAAAGGGGAAATAATTTTTCATGGTTCTATAACATATCCACAGCCCATGTCCACATCCATGGTTGGTTCCCTTCATGCCATGCAGTGACAACCTTGCAGAGCACAGCAGACTGCTGAAGCAGAAAGCCAGAGCAATGCTCCGAAGGCCTCTGCTGTCACAAACAGACTTCCTGAATGTAAGAGTTCCAGATGTGCTTTTGGCATTTCCTGTCTAACTTTCTCCAAGAACACACTCAGCCTCTCCTTACTGGGCTCCGCTACATCTTTCCAAATCACTAACCAAGGCAGCCCACACAGCATGTACTCAGAGAAAACACAGGCATTTATTTTCAGAAATGGGCTTTTGTGTTGTCTTTTCAAATTTACTACAGAGGAACAGATTACGCAGGGTAAAACTGATGCAGTTTTTCGTAACATATTGTAATCTAGTCATAACTAAAGAGAAATTCTTACTATCAAAAAACAAAAAAACAAAAAAAAAAAGCTTTTTGGTCAGTTATCTGTCATCTGTCTTTCCTTGTGTCCAGCCCTGTTCCCTGACATCAGCAGCCAAACAGGAAGCTTTCTACTGTGATGACAGTTTTGATTTCATACGAAGGGGGTTGAGACAGTCCCGAAATGACAAGTTCATTTTTACAGTGCACCACACGGATGTTTTTTTATTATCTCAACAAATGTTGCTAAACTATATACTAATGTTCAAGAAGATTCATTTGGAATTAACCAAAGCTTTCAAGAACAGTATATTCAGTGTATATCATTATTGTATATACAGTGTTTAATTGCTACTTCAAATGGATTTAATCATACTACCTCCTCTTAGAAAAAAAACAAAAAAGATTCCTGGAAGTGGGTAAAGAAATGCTGAATCAGTTCATCTATAAATAAATGTAATTGTAAATATTCAGACAAAATAAAGCCTGACATCAGAAAACTGTGTCACATCAGCTTAGGCGATATCTACTGTATTTTCTTTTTTTTATTACTGTTCTTGTCATGTTGGCATTTTTATCAAATGCGCACAATACCTCAATAACTTTTAACCAGACTAACATGCTTATAAACATCACTGGTAACCTTCAAGTTGGTTTTGGGGGAACTTGATAAATCAGGCTTTTTTTTTTTTTTTACAGGTGGGGCATTTATCAGGTGCAATTCAACTGAAAAACATATCTGACAAAAAAAAAAAAAGGGGGGGGGGGGGTGACATTAACCCAGTTGCATAAGTATGCACACATTTAACTACTACTTTTCTGAATATTCTTCTGATTTAGCTTCAGTGTTTAGTCTTTAGCTTTTACCTGCCATGAGTTATAGTTAATACCAACAACCTGATATAAAGTTCTGCTGGCAAATATTTGATTGAACAAAGGCATCAGTCAGGAGAAGGATGTAAAAGTTCTCCAGAAAAGGGACAATGGTCAACAATTGAAGAAAGTAGCAATAAAACAAAAGCTGATTGTTTCTGCAAAACTAATGAAAAGAGAAGATACAGTAACCAGTCAAGGAGCCGATAAATAGGAAAATAACAGCTTTGGAATGGTCTAATAAAACTGTAGATTCCTTTAATAAGAGCTGTGGGCAGGAAACCTCACATCATGATAGATAACTACCACTGTTTGTGTTTCTTATCACATAAAATCTCCCCAAATAATTGAGGTTATTTGTTGAAGTGTCGCAAATGTACAAGGACTGCATAAAAACCCTCTGTCATCATGTAAAAATCCATAAAACCAAAAATGATGTAAACATGTCTTTTGTTTTGATTAATATCAGTATTTATTTAATATGGTTTGACAGATATGATAACGTCCTAAATATAGTGTTATAACTGACCAAAACATAGATGTTAAGCGGCGACACATACACAAGGAATAAATTGACACTCTGAAACCGGTCCACGTAAAACCAGTTCAAACTCAGCTGTGTATGTTGAGACTGCGTACCTCACTGGTAATCTAGCAAGATATGTAGAAAGAAAGAGATATAGACCAGTATATGTTCCTCTTTCTAGCTTAATAAGGTTCCTTTAACAATTACAAGTTCACAGACGTTTCTGGAGCTCAGATCGACATCAACAACATTAGCCATAGATCTCATTTTCCACCCATCCATCCTGACTGCGGCACCGCCGACTCTGAGTCCTGGCACTCTCGTAGATATCGTTCGTCACAAAGCCGGTCTCCTTCTCTGAACACGTCACGTTCTCGTAATCGGGATACTGGGCGTCATGTGAGTATGGGCAGGAGTACTTTGTCATGATTTCTGCCTGCGTCCTGTAGTCCAGAGCAGCGTGAGGGAGTTCAGTGATGTCACTAAAGGCGTAAGGTCCTTGAATGGAGGAAACCGAAGGTGCTGTTGGCATCAGCTGCTTCGACCTGCCGGGGAAACTCTCTGTTTCCGTCTTCCTCCTGAATGTAAGTAGAAAGGATCAAATTCACGGTGAGAACACTAACCGCCAGGGCCGACTTTCAACTGGAACACACACACACACGCGCACACGCACTAATCTAATAACTGATTTGAAAAATGATTCCTGTGATTATTTTTAACACTCTCTCTTTTTTTTTTTTTTTTTTTTACCTTTTTGCATGCTGTCTGTAGCAGAAGAACCCAGCTGCTAACAGCAGCAGCAGCATAGCTGGAATAGTGGCATAGAGGATGTAGGAAACGTAGAGACTGTTGTCTGAGAAAGACACTGCAAGAAAATGCACATTATTAAGCCTAACTGCATTAAAACACAGCCTCCGAATATTCATAAGTATGACAAATTTCTTTGACTTAAAAATATAACATAGAAAGTATTTATTTTACCTGATGACTCAGGTGATCCAATAGCTATTCTGACATCCCCTTCTGTGGATATGTTTGGCCTCATAGATGGAACTACAGAAGCAACAAAGGTTGTGATTGGTTCAATCACCTAACTACATGTGGCAAAAGATGTAGGTCTGCAGACTGAGGTTTGATTATGATTCTATGTAGATTCAGAAGTAGTTAGAAAACTCTCACAATCTTTTCTTGGGATGCCTCCCAAACAAGGGCTAAGGGTTTGGCTCATCAACAACATCTAATGGTTGGTATGGAGATTTAGCTACCCAAACATATCACTTTTATTTACCATTTGGGTGGTTTCCAGATAAACTTGGTGCTTTACTCAGCTTTATTTATCAGTTCCAGCTTAGTAACAAATTTATCACATATATGTGACACAAAGACTATAAATCAAACCTTCTTAGACTTTGACAAAAGGAGGTTTTACATTAAACAAGAGTAATATGTACCTGGTTCTACTATGATCCTGTCTCCTGTAAATACTGGCATTTTCTCTGCAGAGGATGAAGAAAATTAGTACATTTGTAACATTCAAATAAATTAAAAAAGAACGTTTAACTTTATCCAAACACAAATATTCAATGAGCTTTTGGGTATCATTCTTAAAAAAAAAAGAGCTTAACACAAAAAACAGCTTTACATCTAAGAACACCAAAACTAGTGACACACGGTGGTGGTGGTAGCATCATGATGTAGGGTTAATTTTCCTACTTTTCCCAGATGAAATTGGACTTTCTGGTCAAAGTGGATGAAATCATGTTTTCACCCTAATTTTTCAAGTGTCTGGTAGAAAAGTAAAGACAGATTTTTAACAGCATCACAATCTAACAGATTTAAAGAACTTTTATGAGGGAGATCCTGCCAGTTAATCTCTTAACTGGCATTATGAAAGAAGACTGAACGCTGAAACTGAATCAAAAGGTACTTCAACTAAGTATTAGTTTAAGGATGTGGTGTTATGCAATCAGGGTTTTTTTGCAGCCTTTTTACTTTTTTGTTTTCTTCTCGTGCAGATTTGGTTTTTAAGATGAATTGTGCAGAATACATTTCTTAACAAACATATAAATTGTTTTAAAGGGATTTATCATGGTCTCATTTTTTTTGCCACAAAATCTTGGTATTTTATTTAAACGATGTCTGAAAACCTTTTACAACCAGCGTTGGTATAAAAAATAGCTTCAAAATAGTTATACACTTTCGAAGATTGCTAAAAAGGAGAGAAATGTAATAATCATAAATAAAGCAGATATTAAAACTATAATCGTGTGCTTAATTCTACCTAGTGAATTTGGCTAGCACCTTTTATAAACTGCCAGAAAGCAAAATCGATGGAGCTATGTTGGCAACACCTCCATTAACTCACCTTCCTTGTATTTGCAGACAAAGTTGTTTTTGCAGCTGCAGTTGTCATCATTCCACTTAAACAGGAAATGGCCTTCTTCGTCAGCTGGTGTGGAGGGCTGGTAGTACAACACCACACACATTTCAGAACCACATGACGGCTCATCCCAGTTCCAGTTCCTGCGACGAGTACAACGTAAACATTAACATTTAACTGTATTTTTATAGTTTTGGTCCATTTCACAGAGGAAGTAATAAAAATAACCAGGAGAACCTGTACTTGGCCTTGCTTCCATCGACCCAATAGTACTGCGAGGGGCATCCTGGGTTATTATTCCCTGTCTGGTGATGCGGGGGTCTACGACGGAGCCCAATCCAGAAATTGCCATCTCCAACCTTCAGCTTTTGTATGAAGCTCTCTATCAAGCGCTGCTCACTCTCTGTCTCAATGCTGAGCAGCTCGCCTCCCTCTGACCTGCAGGACTGCCTGGCATCCTCAAACGTCAGCCTCCGCCTGCTGTCCTGGATGTAGGATGCCTTATAGCATGGCCGCTCCGTCCCGCGTCGGCAGATTTTCTGGCCTGGACATCAGGGGGACAGAAAAATATATATATTTTTTATAACTATGTGCCATAAAATAGCCATGCAGCATCAAAAGAAGATAGCACTATCCAACACAGGCAGTATAAAAAATATAACCCTAGAGAGTGAAAAAATTGTTATATCTCTTTGAAGGAATTTTATTCCACTTTCCTCTTCCACATTATTTAAAGGTCCCTGTGTGACCGGCGTCAGAGCTTGGTCCACATTGCTGGATCATTTTCGGCGGGAGTTGGACTCTGCCTTGGTCGTCCTTTGTTGCCGATCTTGATCATAATGCACAGAACGTCTGGGTGAGGAGATCCATTTTTTGGCCTTGGGATTTCGTCTCTGCTTTTTGAAGACTATGTATTCCCATTGGGTTCATCTGACCGTGGCCTACAGCTTTCACTGGAGCAGTTCGAAGCGGAGTGTGAAGCGGAAGAGATGAAGATCAGGCTCTCCAAATCTGAGCCTATGGTCTTCAGCTGTAAAACGGTAGACTGCTTTCTGCAGGTCAGGGAGGAGGTCCTGCCCCACGTGGAGGAATTTAAGTACGTCAGGGTCATGTTCACCAATGAGGGAAAAATGGAGGATTGGTGCTGCGTCTGCGGTGATGCGGCCTCTGTCGCGCTCTGTCGTGGTAAAGAGAGAGCCGAGGCAAAAGGCGTAGCTCTCGATTTAACGGTCAATCTATGTTCTTACCCTGATTTATGGTCACAAACTCTGGGTAGACATGGAAAGAATGATATTGGAGATACAAGTGGCCAAAACGAGACCTTAGCTGAGGCAAATGAGAGCTGCAGATGTTGTTTTGGTTTGTTCTGTGACTTCCGGTATGTGTCGTTGATTTCTCCCTTTGTTGATAAAGGCTCTAATTATGGTTAGCTGAAATCCCCAAGCCTTAAAAATAGGCCAATGTGACTTTGTTTATTGTCTATTCTTGAAATTATTTAGATTATGCATTGCTTTTTAGACAACTTTTAGCTTACTTCATGTTTGTTGGACAAATTTTATTCAAGTAATTTGTTCATCTTGCTGGTATGACAGTAATAAGACTAGTTTGACTTGTGAAACTGAACCAGCAAAATATGATTAATCACAATTAACTAGCAACTTATCAAGGTGGGGCAATTGCTTTTTCAAATAGAGCCATTTGCTTTCAGTAACTTTAAAAACTCCTATTGCCTCAGATAATAAATTTGTTTCAACAATGTGAAGAAAAAAAAAAAAAAGTAAAAACTGAATAAATTTGTTAGGGGATAAAAAGTTTCCCACTGCAATGTGTAATACATTGAATGTCAGTGGGATGTAATGGTGACTGAAGTTCAGTTTACTCTCTGTTAGCATTTTACCAGCTAATCAGGTAGCTGAACGGTTGTGCTGCTATGGTTCCACACTCTCAATTTGACCAGAAAAATTGACACAATAGTCAATAAAAGTCTTATATCACTTTATAAGGATGTTGTCTTCAGTTTGTTAAGTCATGCTTTTCGGTGAAGTATAAAACTAAACAGAAAATAACTTCCAACCCAAATTTCTTGTTTACTTTCTCCATTATTGTTTCCAACCCACTGGACGTGTTAATGTTTTTCGTTTTAACTCACATTTGCGGGGTTGGAACCTAATACAGCATCTCAAATTCATAATCCAGCTTTGTTCTGTTAAGGCATCAGTCACGTTTGACCCAGGACAGTTTAAGCAAAAACAACACCGATTGACTTTTTTTTTTTTTTTTTTTTTTTTGGGGGGGGGGGGGGGGGTTGTTTTTGTTTTTTTTAACCCAGCAGTTTTTGAAGTGTAATTTTCAAATAAAGTTGCTTTCCCTATTAATGCAGTGACTATTAACTGAGTCACTGCATCCCACCTAAAAGTGGAACTTTCGATTTGACCATGATTCATTGCAAATAGTAACTCAGGACAGGATTACTGCGCATTCGGTAATAAGATGCTTACTGCCTGAAAAATCCTACTGAGTTGCCGATTTAAACAGAATGTAGATGAAGAAGGAGTGGCTATGTAAGCGCTTTCATGTCTCTGTTTTGCTTATAATCAAGAGTCAGCGATGTCCTCTTGTCTAGCACAGTCAAATTACAGCAGCGACTCTCTGACCCGGGCAGAAACGGCTGTTTACATGTTCCAAGAAGTTTGTTGCGTCGATATTGTTATGAAACACGCAGACTGCTGCTTGCTTTGGACGTTTTTCAGCAGCGGTTCTGCTTTCAAGACTCGTTTCCCTGCGCCACTCAAGTAAAACCCCGAAAAACGTTTCATTTACTTCAGTGTTAGAAACCGCTGAGACTTCTTTTTTTTTTTTTAACTTTTAAAAAGCATTGTCTGTTTTTATATGAAGGTCTTTAAATATAAATGAAACTCGTTTCTGCCTTTTATTTTATTTTCGCCCCCGAAGAAAAAAAAATCTTACCATTTATTTTCGAAGCGGATCCAGGGTGAAACAAAACGGCGATAACGGTGCCAAAAAGCCTAATAAAATCCATTTCTACATGTTCACTCGATGTTCTGCCCAGCTGCTGTTCAAAAACTGGGAGAAACTAAACTTTCACTTCCAAACCCGGTGATAGAAAAACTGCAATAATGGGAATGGGAAAAGACTAGTCTGTTCAGGGGGGGGGGGGGAAAGGGGGCGGGGTCCTGACGGGGGTGGTAGGGCGTGTCATAAAAAAAAAGCATCAAGAAAAAAAGTCTAAAACTACAGAAACACTTTTAACTATCAGTGATTCTTTTGGGTTTAAGTTTAATTCTAACACGAATATTATGCATTTACGCTCATTATGCAACAAATAAGCTTTTCTGAATCCTGTTTTTTACGTAAAGCATTGCAATATTGACCTGAATGGAGTTCTTTGTCTGTATTCTGTCATGTGGACTGTGTTAAAGAGAGCTACACATTTGTATCCTATCTGCTTCACACACACACACACACACACACACACACACACACACACACACACACACACACACGCACACGCGCGCACACACACACACACACACGTGTATGTATGTGGAAAGCAGCACACTGTGTGTGGAAAGAAATGTGTCGCAATAAAATAGCATGAAAAAATAATTTCAATAGTAAGATATCTTACAAATTCATCTCATAAAGGGATGGTTTTATACAAGATCAACAGATATGGACACAAGCCTTTAATCATAGTTAGTTATCCAGGTACTGGGACTTTGATTTTGAAATGCTGTGCAAAATTTACTTTCATTAAAAGACTTTCACTGAAGCAACAGTGTAATCATTTAGCTCCGTAGGCCATAACCTTGGTAAGTCTCAGTGTGGCGGCTCTTTAAACATTGATAGGCCTTTCCGTATAACACTTTTTCCTTCCACTCAACTTCCCAATAATATGATTGGATAAAACGCTCTATGTATGAAATGTATACCTTCATTTTCTAGCATTAACTCTAATTCTGTTTGACCCCAATAATAATAGATTTGGTTCTACTAATGAAGCTTAATTAAAACAAATACGCTGTTGTGAAGTCAACAGTCTTCTCTATGACTGTATCAGTCATAAAAATGATATTTCTGCATTAAAGTAGTTTTTATTGGTATTTTATGACATTCTGTTTTTTTTTTGTTTTTTTTCAGAGACAGACTTTTGGGTTTTTATTGACTAAAATTTCACTTAAGGAATCAATTAACTGTAATTAATCAACTTTTTTTTCTGTTAAGTCATTTATTGAGAAGTTGCCTCTGAGTTAGTTTTGTCAGCAGATTTGTGCAGTAACCTTATCGGATGTCATATTTAAATATTCTGCCCACATGTAAATGGAGTCTGTTGAGAAGAAAATTACTGGAGCTTTATGGGAAGAGGATATGAGTCAGACTTCACTGTGAAAACAAAAGCTTCTGGTAAAAAGATGAAAAGCAAGGACACAGAGTGAGATAAATACAGAGAGTTATAGGGATAGAAAAGAGGGATTGCCTCTGAACAGGAAAGGAAACAGAGGAGGAAGAGGGCAGTTTTTTTTTTAGGACTTCACTTCCTGTCCATTGCTTTGGTTCAGTTTCCATTTCCAGAGTGTGGTTGACTGAAGCTTCTCTGTAGCTGTAACAGCAAAAAATCCAAAAGAAGATGAAATAACAGATTAAGTACTT